ACTATATTTTCAAACTTTTACAAAATGAAGATGAAATCTCTGTGCTGTGTTTTATTTAAAATTTAGTTTGGCTTCTAAAAATTTGATTCTAAACAACACTTCTCAAAACAATCCTACACGAATTTTTGAAGCCCAAATCAAGTTGTTGTCTTTCTATTATCTTACCAGTGGAACAATCAAAGGAGAAAAAAAAATTCAAGTGAGTTAGATTTATCTTCCTTGTGATTATTTTCCCTCTGTAGATAAGTCTAATTAAAGAAGTATTATTTTTTGATAAACTAATAGATATATAATTTGAGTTTTGAAAGTAGTATGTTTTAATTTTTGAAAAAAAAATGAGACCAAATAGATCTCATTCGTTCAATAGTTTGCATAATCGTGTCTGATACTGCGAATACTACGCCCTCCTGAAAGATAAGTGTAGACCTCGGCGATAGACTCAATCCTGCAAACTAAGAGATTTGTGACATCCGTTTAGTCTGCGAACCTTTTATATGTGACTGACAAGTTCCCCTATCTAATACAAAGATTAAATAGAGTTTATTTTACCTGAGTTCCAAGTTCCCTATAGAGACAAACCCCTATAGTTAATTACATCTCAAATGACTGGGGTCACTTGAGAAAACTCTCGATAATGATCAGAGGTATTAGTCTTCAAGATTCCAAAGTTTAGGTTTTCACGGTAGGACGAGAAAAATCAAGTGAGAATGACTCAAATAGGAACAGTTATTTCAGAAGTCCAAAGAAAAGAAAAGGTAGGAGATGTCACAGATCCTGAGGAGAACCCTCAGTGACTTCCCAAACTATCCTACTATGTGGCTGCATTTTTAGAGATAATGGTATTCAATTGTTCAATCCTGCGAATTTTATTATTTAGGACTTACATTTGCGTAATACCCGATTATGCAAATAGCAAGCAGAGATATGAGGGTTTACGTCGTACCGTACGACAACCTCAGAACCTAAGTCGAGTTAGGACTCATGCCGCGCAACATGATTGCACAGAAGCCTAAAAAGGGAGTGTGAGGATTTACGTCGCGCTAGGCGAGCTACCTCGAAGTTCTATGGGTTGTTATTATGCTAGGAAGAGATAATATTGAAGAATATCCTCTTGTTGCTTGCTCCAAATTCTTCGCTGTGCTGCCCACAAAGTTGGCTCAAAGCTCTTGTCATCGCGACGACTCCAGGGTTTAAGTGTTTGAGTTTGGTGGCTTATGTTTCCCAGTTTTGGTGTCAATGTTTGGTTTTGTTTTGTTTCAATTTTGGTTTCAGTTCTGGTTTTACATGCAAAGTAGAAAAATTGCAGTTAAATAACATGTACTTGAAAGGTAAAACGCAGTAAAGTAAAATGCTGTAGATAAACTGTAAAAGTGTATCTGGGCATCTGCTACTGTTGCGTTATTAGTGTTGCGAGCGTAGTATGATTTGCAGTAGATTTAAATAAATTTGCAAGAAAATAAATAAAGCAAGAAAACCCAGCATGAAAGTCATAAAAACGAGTCGTAGAAATCACAAGCAAACGAAACACTTAGCCACACATGAAAGACCAGGACTGAGTGTAAGACATTGGTAAAAGTGAGGAGCTCAGAGCTGGGTTGTGTGCTTCCCGATCTTGAACAGGAGTTACCAGCCCGACAATCTACAGAAGACAGTGCTTAACCTCAATCCAAGTGACTAGCCGTGGACTTTATAAATTTTCATAGAAAGATTTTCATGCGAAAGTTGTTATTTAAGTCTTTTTTATGCAGAGTTCTTTTAATCATGCAAAAGAAATTTTTTATTTTATTTTTGTAAATATTTTGTAAAGTCGTACAGTCCACAGATTAGTCACTCTAATCGTGCTAGAACTACTGACAACCTAAGAGTGTCGGGGGCAACGATTTTAATAGTTTTTCTATCAATTTCATCGTGTGATTATCCTCAAAAGACACTTATGTGTCTAATTTACCTTGTTTATGAACATTTACGCAAGATACATTTAAATATATTGGGAGGAAATTAAGTGAAGAAATTACCTTTAAGAAAGGAAAATTATTGAGATGGTTCAAGCGACTTTTAAAGTCAAGCACTTTAAAAGGTACTCTATAAATCAAATGTCAAGGGTAGGATGGCTTTTCCTTAGTATGTTTTGGAATCTTATTTTAAAAGAAAAGAGTCATGGTAAACTCAAGAAGATTTATATTTCTTTTTTTGTTCAACCACCTTATTTTATAGTGAGGTATTGGGACATGAAGATTTCAAATAAAACATTCTTTGTTGAGTAAAGGGAACAATGTTTAATTAAGATAATTTTGGCCATTATTGGCTCTAGATTTTTTAATGTTGATATTACATTATTTTTTTTATCATTGTTAGATTTCATGGGTGGATATGATTGACATCAAATTTTTATTTAATAAAATAATCTCATGTCATTGAAGTGCAATCATCAACCAATGCTATAAATCCTTGAGCTCCATAAATATTAAGGATTTCTTAAGGTCCTGAGATGATAGAGATTCATGGATACCCTATTATGTTACAACCAATGCAATTTATTATGAAAATGCCATTTGAGAATTCTCAGAAGTTTCACAATGAAAATTTTCAATGTTAATATTTTTAATAAAGAGGAAGTATATTCTTGAGAATTTGAAAAGACCATTGTGCTAATCTATAATGATGATCCCAAGTAATATCTTTATTAGAAATAGACATAAGAGAAATATATGACTATTGTTACAACCATTATTGTTTCAAATATATATAGCTCATATTTTTCTCTAGCCTTTTCATTCTTCTCCCGTAGGTAGGTCCTGATAAAATCAATGATCAATAAATTATGTTCTCTCGTAGTTTTAATTTTGGGCTACTTTATGAATGGATTACATTTTGACAACAAAATGATGAAAATATAGAATATGATTGAGTAAATGAAAAAAAATGTAAATATTCCTTTATCCTACAACACCAGCTTAGGAGCCATCTACTATGATTTTTTTTTATGGCTAGGATAGGGTTAATAGGCTTGAAAAATTTTGACTAAGGTCATCATATTTCGGTGGAACTTGCGTTAATTATGGATTATCCATCTATTATGAGAACTATTCAAAGCATTAAAATTAAAAGACCTAGAAGTTCCTCTATTTTAAGCTAAAAAGCATGACCAAGATGATTTTTAAAGAGATTTAAGAAGGTTCCTTAGCCTATCAAATTTTTTTTTGATCTGAGTCCTCTTGTCTCTATAAAATAAACTTATTCTTTGATTGACTTTCTTTATATTCGCCATGTCCTTGAGGTCACCAAGGGTTTCATGATTTCGATGACTAGCACTAACTAATAAAAAATTTTCAAACTTTTGTCTTATATTTAATGGCTTCCAATAGATTGATAGAGTTACTAAAATACATAATTTAATATTTTTTTAAGTGTAAAGTGATTCTACCATGAGTACCGTTCTTCTGTTTGGTCATGTCTAGGATAAATAACTTTCCTTCATTCATTCTTAGCAAAAAAAATTAACCTGAAAATATTAGTTTAAATTATTATGAGCTATCAACAATTTTATGGGTGTTTTTAATTTCTAAATTACAATAACATAAAGGAGATATTAATATAATATGTATGCTTGTTAAATTCATAAATTAGTATGATGTCATATGGCTTTTCTTCCATTTAAATATGAATATACATACATCATTCCAATAAATCTTTAATTTTATTAAATTAATATGCCGCCACTAATCTTTAAAATTTTTAGTTGACTATATAATATAACATTGAAATTTAACTTCTCTTTTCTTTTCAAAATTTATAAATCCTTATATTTATTTAGCATTATAAATTTATAATTACAACTTTACTATTAAACATGCACCCTTTCTTTTTTCATTAAACTGGGGTTTTAATAAAATTTGCAGTTATATTTATATGAAATTTGCATTTATTCTTTGCCCTATAAAAACTTAAGCTCTTAGAAAATATTGATATTTATGAAGAAAATCTAGTTTCTCATAGCTCAAGTTTGTCCAGAATCCTCGGCTCACCCACTGTCTAACACACAATCAACTTCATTGGAAGCTTTCATCGACATCCTTGCCTCCCTAGATTGTGTGCTTGCATGCTCGTCTGTTAGTGGCTGCTTGTCTGCTCTTGCTCAGGTGCTCTGCTTGATCTCCCCTCTCATCCCTTCTTTGTTTCCTTTCTTTTCTCACTTTGTCTTGCTGGCATGATTCACCCCTCCCTTTTTTTTCCTTTACAACCCTAAACTAACACTGGTTGAGCTGAATTGATATTAGCATGCTAATTTTTGTTTTTTAATACAGGGCTTTATAGAAGAGTTCAACTGTAATAAGTCATCCAACCTGAGTTTCTGTTGTTTTCACAGCTAACATTATGAGCCGGGCATTTCTGACAAAACAATCCTACTTACTTTTTCAGCCCATATTAGGGAGATGATTGCATTATTAAAGTGTATGACCTCCTTGATCAAGATTTGGAAGTGGATTTCAGCAAATGATACATTTAGACCGACGGGAAACTCAAAAATTGTTTTTCTTTCTATATATTATTTTAGAACCGTAATATCATTGCAACATTTAATCTTTATATCTTTGTAGCACAATTTTAACCCAGTAATTTTAATTGCATTGAAGTATTTAATGATAGATGGGTTACCTTATTTGGCATTTGAGAGTTCTTTTTTTCCTCTGAATTTCATAGATTCAAGTCTGTTTGTATCATGGATGATGCCGTATTTGGCTGAAGCAGTAGGCTCTTCTTCCAATTTTTTCTTGTCCAAATCCTGCTGTCCTTCAACAATTAATTTATTGATTTATCATTTGGTTGATATGCTATATTTTTCCATTTAACATTGCATTTTTGTCTTTCAATATATATATTTTTTATTAATAATTGTTAAGTTTAATTATTCATTCTAGGCAACTCGACTTGCAAGTCTTAAGTTTTTTTTTTTTGGTATTTTACTTGAATGTTTGTTAACTGAATTTCTTAGGTAACAGATAAAACTTTGCTGCAAGAAGCTATGGAGGGATCCATAACTTCAAAGGATGGAAGGATTAAAAATGAGGAATACATCTACATGGTGCTCGAGTATGGTGAAATTGATTTGGCTCACATGCTTATGCAGAAGTGTAGGGATATGGAGGGCTCAACATGGAATATAGATGAGAATTGGTTGAGATTTTATTGGCAGGTACTCATTTTAATGTTGCACAAATTCTTCATGCATCTATTAAGTTTTATCGAATTGAAGCTCTATGCGTTGCTTTAATTGCTATAATCAAATCAACCTTTTTCTGTGACAAAACTTGCTAACTTCTAGTATTTAGTCAATTTTATTCATGGAAGGTAGCATTGCTGCAAAATAATAAATTGATTCAAAATGAATCGGGGATGAAGAATGTTTGATGCAGAGGAGGATTGATTTTTAGGAAGATTTACGTACATAACGCTCAATCCTTATGTATTTGCATATCTAACACTTAAACTTCAATTTTTACATACATGCCACCAAACCTATGCATGAAAAGGTGTAAAAAGTTGAATGGGTGGTATTTTTTAATGTGATATGAAAATTTTTGGTGATATAAATGTAAAAATTAAAGTTCAGGTGTTAGATATGTAAATAAATAGGAATTGGGTGATTTGTATGTAAATGCCCCTAAATTTTATTTGGAATTACTTTGAAGGGAAGACTATTAGAATCTCATTTGGAAGATTTGTGGAATCATTCACTAGAAATCTCGTGATAATTAAGTTGTGGTTCGCTAGAATCCACGAATGGTGTCGTGCGGCAAAAAAAATATTGAAAATCAATGGAAGATCCCCAAATTTTCCCATCTCGAATGAACTTTTCTTGAATTGTTAAAAGTTGGTTTATGCATTATACTTCTCCAACCCTTTAGCCTACAATACTTCAAAATTCTTGATGGTTCCTTTTTGATCGTCAAATTGTGATATTTCTACATTTATTCTTCCTCATTTAAGAAAAAGACTCATTTGGTGTCAGCCACTTGCCGCATGCATCTCGCTGATTTGCTGTTCGCTTGCGGTTTTTGGCCTGTCAGCTGTCACACTCGTTGCAATCTGCTTTTTACAGCCGAAAACTGCTATCTACCTGCTCTCGGTTCGCTGTCCAGCCCTCATTCACTTCGAAACCACCTTCCATCCTCCCACTCCCATTACCCATCCTACAACTTAATGCTTTTTGGTGTTCTAATACACCTTCTAGGAGCCCTAAAATGGTGAAATCGGAGTTAACCCTTACCACAATCGAAACTGAAATAGTATTGCTGAAATTCAAATAGGTTACAATGGTTACTCTTCAAAACAGAAAATATACAATAAATAACATAAAAGGACATTCACTCCCCAGTGCAACGGCGATATGGCCGGTGAACAGCTGCGAGGGGCCTGCGATGGCTAGCAACAAGGTGGAAGGGAGCTAAGGAAGGATTGGGGGTTAGGCGAGATTCTTGGAAGTCTGGAGGGATGGGTGCGGTTGCAGATGGGGTTACGAGATGGATTTGCGCAGCAAAAAAGTGGTGTGGGGGCGGTCTACGGTTGCTTTAGGGATGGAGCAAAGGGTTGGCGACAATTCTGAGAGGACTGGGCATGTTTGCTGCAATAACCAGGGAGGTTCCTGGGTATTAGTCGGTGAGAAACAGGGAGAGCAGAATTAGCGGTAACAGTAAGGACAAAGAGGTCGTACAACAAGCTAGCTGCACACCTGATCTCGTAGCTAGCTCCCAATCATAAACTCAACTAGGCACGTCCGGTTAATGTTGACAGTGTTCTTCTTCTTCAATCACGTTAGAGAAAGTGGCTAGCAGTGTCTCCGAGTCATGAGGCCAAACTTCTTCACAATTTGTGTCGATGTCATGTTTTTACTGCTTCCTCCATCGATAATGGGACTGCTCGCATTCTCGTTCACGGTGCAACAAGTGTAGACTATATTATGATGAAGCCACTCCGAATCCCTTGTATCTTCGGTCTGCAATACTCGTCGAATCATTTGTTTCTCTACTTCATCCGGTGAAAGATAATACACCTCACCCTATTCTTTAATTGTCTCTTTATCGCCAACCTCCTCCACGGTGCTCTGCTCGGTAAAAAACACAACTCGGATCGTCAGACAACTGAAGACGATGTGCTTAAATTCGTGGCATCTAAAGCACTTTATGGCGGGGGCTATAGTAGATGCTACTCTTCTCAGGTTTTCTCACTAAGGGTGGCTCTATCTTTATCCAAACCAGTTTTCTCAACTGTGTGAGGCCTGCTCCTACTGGTGTCTCCTACTGTGGGTGGTTGTCTGACTAGTGGTGGTTACCTGCTCTGTTTTTTGTTGCTTTTCTACTTTCAATGCTAAGGTCTGAACATTTCCAAGTTACCAATAAGGTTGCGGCTACACCACATTGTTAATAGTGGGTTTCAGAGCCCCCCAAATAACGATCTATGGTGTGTTTCTCTGGCTCGATCAAACAAAACTTCATTTGCAACTAGCCAAACTACGCTTTACTCAATGGAAGGAGTAGAAATTCTCGTCTCTTTCGCACCTTTGCCTTTCCTTGTCACGATCGAGGGTAATTTCTCTCTGGGTTTAATTCCTCAGTGTTCTCAAACCTTCGCTGAATTCGACGGATCTCTCGTTGTATGTCTCCCCATGTAAGCTTGGGTATGTATCTTTTTGGTGACATGACCAGGGTTTAGAGTTGGGAGGTGAAAACAAGTGAAAATTTGATTTAGGGTTGCTGATTTTGAAAATCAGCAATGGGACATTAGGATTGGGTCCAAGTTTGGCTATGGTTTGGGAATAGAAAAGAAAATTTTTTACTAAGGGGGTACGGTGGATGCGAGAAAATTCTAGAATACGACCAATGTTAGGCTAGATATCAAATGATACCAGAGTAACCCAAACCATAATTGAAACGGAAATAATATTGCCGAAATTCAAATAGGTTACAACAATGACTCTTCAAAATAGAAAATGTATGATAACTAACATAAAAGGACACTCCAGGCGAGAGCATGTATGATAACTAACATAAAAGGACACTCCAGGCGAGAGCCAGATGGCCGGTGGACAGTTGTGAGGGGGATGGGATGGTTAGTGACAAGCTGGAAGGGTGTTGGGTTAGGACGACAAGGGGGGTGGGGGGACAATAAGGACAGAGAGGCTTGATGGCAGGGAAATAGGTGGAAGGGAGTACAGGGAAGAGATGGCAGCAAGGCGAAAAGGGGAAGATACACACCACCTCGGGACGAGTTATAACTGAAGCACATTCTCACCGTTGGATACAAGCCTAGAAGGGAAAAGGGGGATGTCGGCGGCTGTACAGCCCTCAACCTCCTTGTTGAACCGAAACCCCTTGCTGAGATGGTAGCCCGGTTCAGCCCCCTGCAGCCCCGTGTCAAACGGTGTCATTAGTTCTATTATATCTTATTATAGAGAAATTTACTTGCATGCCACACAATTCTTATGTGTTTGCATATCTAGCACCTCGTGTCATAAGATTATGCATGAAAATATGTATTTCACTCAAAGAAATTATAACTATCATATTTTTGATGTTATGTTAGCAATCCGTGGGGTGCATGTAAATATGGAAGTGTAGGTGTTAGATATGTAATCATTCAAGAATTAATAAACTGATAATCTGATTTTACAGCAAATGCTGGAAGCCGTGAACACTATACATGAGGAGCGAATTGTGCACTCAGATTTAAAGCCCGCAAACTTTCTACTTGTGAGAGGTTCACTGAAGCTTATTGATTTTGGCATTGCCAAGGCTATAATGAGTGACACTACCAACATCCAACGAGATGCACAGGTGTGACATTTTCATCCCCCCCCTTTTTTTGGGGAATTTTACATTTTATATTAGTTTCAATTACATCAAATCAAATGATAAAATTTAGTATTTTTTTGGAGGGATTTACATTCATAACACATAATTCTCATGTATTTATGTGCTTAACACCTAAATTTTAATATTTATATAATATTTTAGTGTCATCATCTTATTAAAATATAGGGATGATTTACATGCGTGCCACTCGATTCTTGTGTATTTACATATCTAACGCCTAGATTTCAAACATGTGTCATCTTACCTATGCATGAAAATGTGTATTATAATACTGAGCAAGTAAATGCCCCTATAATATAAATAAATATTGAACTTTAGCAATAAGATATGTAAATACAAATTGTGTCATGTATGTAAATCCCATTTTTTTTTTGTTCATACCAAACAAATTAGGAAGATTTACATACAGACTACTCAATTCCTATTTATTTACATATCTAACACCTAAATTTCAATTTTTGCAACACACATATATATCACCTTATATAGACATGAAAATGTGTATTTCACTTTTTAAAAGTTAAAGTTGTGATATTTTTGACATGATACAAATGATTTGGTTGGCATAAATGTAAAAAAATAAAGTTTAGATGTTAAATATGTAAATACATTGGAATTAGGTATTCCAACAAATTACCACATTAATCAAACTGCAGGTGGGAACTCTCAACTACATGTCGCCGGAAGCATTCATGTGGAACGAAGAAGACCAGTCCGGCGGCACCATCAAATGCGGCCGCCCCTCCGACATCTGGTCCCTTGGCTGCATCCTCTACCAGATGGTTTATGGCAAAACTCCATTTTCAGATTACAAGACCTTCTGGTCCAAATTCAAAATCATCACAGATAGAAACCATGAAATATCTTACCAGCCCATCGCAAATCCCTGGCTTGTCGATCTCATGAAGAGATGCCTCGCATGGGACCGAAACGAGCGGTGGCGAATACCTCAGCTCCTTCAACACCCTTTTCTCGTCCCACCGGTACCGACCGCTGCTGCGCCGGCGAAGGAAGATCATCCCTACAGACTGTTGTTTGATAGGGTGGGATTGTATTGGAATGAACCTGAGGTCACAAGTCTGTGCGCTGAGCTGCACTCTGTGGTTTCCAGGCTTGAGAAAGATCATGTTGCCGCCATGGCCGCCGCCGGTGTAAATCCAGAGCAGAAATCTGATTCTTGAGATGGACGTTGTTTGTTAGGGTTTTGTTGTGATTAAAATCTGTGGGTTAGGAGAAGAATATGGCTCTATTGCTCCTTACATGGCGTTTTGGGTGAGGCTCAGCAGGGCTTGAGATATAGATTGTAATGTTTGGCTGAGATGATTTTCTTGTTTGTTTTTTTAAGAAATATAGGGCTATCTGGGATCATTTTTATTTTTATTTTGATTTGAAACAAATCAATTTGATGTGTAAAAAATATATTTAATTATTTTTTAAAATATTTAGAATTTGTAAATATTGTCAAATAGGTTGATTTATTTTAAAAACAAAAGAAAAATATGTAAACAAATTAACAAATGAATTACGTTTTTAAAGTCAAAAGTAAAAAATAAAAGATAAAGCTTTTAAGTCCTAGAATTACCACTAAATTTTATTTTTATGATGTGAAAAGAAATGGCGGAAATGTTATGTTCTCAATTATGTACGGTCGGTTTGAGGCAGTTTGTGCGTTCTATGATAAACAGTTTATCTTGAAACGCAACCTGCGACTTGCTTTTAATGTTAAAAACTCAAATGCGGCAGACAATGTTTTCAAAAACGAGCAAATCAAAAGATTAGGTGGTGTTTTTAAAAACGCTGTCGCATTTATAAGCTGCCCCAAACAGGCTTGTAATCGTGAGCTGTGCTTTAAAAGCTAAATTTCTACACTAGCCAAAAAAAAAAGGCAAAAATATTATTAAAATATGAGAAAAAACAATATATTATAATAAAAATGGAAGAATTATCACGTTTAATGATAATAGGGGTCAATCAATTTTAATCGAAATATGAATATTATAATTAATATATTTTCCTCTCTGTCAAGCAAGTATAGGAATCGACAATTTATACCTATCTTCCATCCCACAATTATCATATATTTATTCCAAATTTGCAATTGTCAAACCAATAAACAAGCCAAAAAAAAATCCTTATTTTTTATGTATTTATGTTTCTAACACCTAATCTTCATTTTTTAAACGTCATCTTGCTTACACATGAAATTGTGTATTTCACTTTAAAAAAAATGAAATAGCTATATTTTTTTATGTAATATGAAAGATTCCGATGAGAGAAATGTTAAAAACAAATTGTAAGATATTTAAATACATTGTAATTAGAATGAGTATAATACATGATTTAATTAATTGGTTCATATACTATACTTACACCAAAACAAATTAAAAAAATTTAAACACATTAACAAAATTTTGTCCTCTATACAAGAAAAAATTTACGTACGCAGCGGTGCGTACGTCAGGTAGGCTACATGGAGGATATTGAGGGTTATATTCACGCTATACTCCCTGTAACCTCCTAGTAACTTACCTGTAACCTACATGTAACTTACAAATTAACGAAAACAGAAGCGCTAAACTTACTAGTTACAGGTAGTTTACAGGGAGGTTACATGGGATATAACTCGATATAACCCTCAATACCCTCCCTGTAACCTACCTGACATACGCAACAATGCGCACACAAATTTTTCTCCCTCTATACACAGTTATATTTCATTAGAATCACCAACAACTTGGATTTTATTGTAATTTATATTTACCTTCGGATCCGTCCTTCACAAAAACCCTGCCAATGAAATCACGAAATCTCCTGGAGTAGAGCTTTGGGTCCACAGCGGAGATGGAGGAGGGGTCAACTTGTAAGGATTTGTATGCGTGCTCCAGCTTCTTGGTAAAATTATAGTCACCGAGTATGTCAATTATTCCAAAATATAGGACCACTTTGAAAAATTTGTCACCTGCAGGCGATTTCACGGAAGTGAACTGCTCAATATTGCTCCCTTGAAACACATGTTCTGCTCTGGCTGGCATGTTTGCTCCCAACCGAATCACTGGCTCCCTATTACAACAATAACATGGGAGATTTACATAAATAATTTTAATTTTTACATTATATAACATCTCACCAATGTCTGCAATGTTATATTTCACTTTAAAAAAGTTAAAATAGTGATATTCTTATATGATGTAATGAATAAAGTTTAGGTTGGATATGTAAATATATAAGAATTGGGTGGTATGAGGATAAATAAAAGATTTACATAATGCCCAGTCAATTTCTATGTATTTATATTTCTAAAGCCTATAATTTAATTCTATCTTAAGAGTTTCTTTCCATTTAAAAACTGCTTCATGTATCCAAATGGTTCGTGATTGAATTTTGCATCTTTTACTGACTAATTCAGTGCAGGATATGTCTGGAAACTATTAGTCTAGTGTCCAATTGGAGGACGCAGAGTAAAAGCAGAAAATTCAATAAGAAAATTATCATTATGCTGTAAAATAATAATAAAAAAATAAGTATCCTAAAATTCAACGATTTAAGTGGTTACTTTCAAATGTTAATCTAATATCTTCTTAATAACGACAGAGAATGGACCCCACAAAAGAAAAAAAAAGGGAAATTTGCATACATGCCACACATTTCCTTTGTATTTACATATCCCTATGTAGCTTAAAGCTTGATATTTACATTTATAACTATGCATGAAAATGTGTACTTCACTTTTAAAATAAGAATGTTATGTATGTAAATAAGAAAGTTTATGTGTTAGATATGTAAATACATAAGAATTGTAAATTACCGAAGAAAAAATGAATAATTTAAGACATACCGGCCATCCACGCACCTAGGTGTATCCCCCCTCCCTGACTCTGGGAAGACGAACTCAGTCAAAGGCCCTTGACCTTGGAAAGATCCATCCAAACTAGATACTTCTGATTAAGCAAATTAAATTCATGAATTAAATTCAATTGATCTAAGTATGCAGTCAAAAAATAGCAAAATTTTCAATTTCATTGACTTACTTTGAGAAGCAGATAAATCATCACTGAAATGAAATCCTACTAAAAGACTATAATCCATAATGCCCTCTGCTTCAAGAAATTCACAATCTCGCTCAATTTGCCTAGAAAAACCAAAAAATTGAAAAATTATAACAACAAAATCAAGCCATTAAAATATGAATGAAAATTTACACATATAACACACAATTCTTATGCATTCACATATCTAACACCTAAATGTTTTTACATTTATAACACATCAGATTTAAAAACATATGCATGAAAAGGTGTATTTCACTTTTGAAAAGTTAGTAATAGTGATAATTTTTATTTGATATCAAAGATTTGATTTTTATGTATGTAAGTATGAAAGTTTAAATGTTAGATATGCAAATATATGAGAATTGAGTGGTATGTATGTAAATGTCGTAAAAATGAAAATAGAAATGTAGCCGAAGGCTTATCATACCACATAAATTTCTTGAACAAAGGTTTTTGTAGGTGGAATACAAAGTTAAGATCAAGATCCTTCAAAGTAGAAGTTCCATCTACGGCTTCCTCACTCTTGTGAATAGTCCTGCCATAAGATGAGCCTTTCAGATCAAAACGCCTGTGAATTCCATGCTCCGAGCAGAGCAGATTTCCCATCACTATGAAACGAACCTAAACATAAGATAATTTTCCAGCTGTAAGAGACGAAGAAGAGAATTAATCCGAAAGAGAAAACAACAGACAGTGTCTGGACTAAATTAGGGCATTTTCGCACCTTGTGGCCGCCAATGGGCTTCACACAATGCACGCCATAGAACTTTGTGAGGAGAGAATTCTCATGCTTGCAAACATGTTTGTAATAATTTAATAACATCTTTATAAGAATCTGCAAAAGAATTCTAAAGAAAGTTAGACAACAATAAATTGATCTCTGGAACTTTTATACTAAAGAAAAACAGAGTTCTTAAGAAAACAAAAAGGCGCTATTAAAAACTGCATCTTTTACAGCTTCATATAGATTCTAACATTGACAAAAACTAATTCTAAACAAAATGTTTCTCAAACTACACAAATATGTTTTTTTTTTAAATGATTTTGTCTCTTACATCATGCGGTAATGAAATCATTATGTTTTGAGTTTTGGCAAGATTTGTGAAGTTTCAATGTAATGTTAGTTTCTATCTACAAAAAACCAAATGATGAATTTAGCATATTTCACCTTCTTTCAAAACATGTTTTTGGAAATTTAATCAACCAAACAGCTCTCAAGATAATCTCAATTTTTATCTGTGGAGGTAGATGGAGAAGCATTACTGGTAATATATACCCAAGAACATATAGGTGTAACAAACAAATATTATTCTGTACAAAACCCACTAAATTGATGCATCACAACCAAATTCACACAGAAATACTCAGTCAGAACAGATGTTGAAGAAAAAACTTGAAGCAGAAAAAATGTTTCAAAACTAAATAAAAGCAGCAAATATAGAAAACTAAACGCCTAACCTTCACTTCAGACTTTCTAACTGTTTTTATGATGAAACGATCATCCTGAGTCAGGAAGAACAAACTCCCACTTTTTCCAGGGGAAGATAGTTCTCTAAGAGAATCAGTCCCGCAAATGGCTTTTACATAATCCGATGGATCCACGGAAAACAATTTCCTCAGATGTCTACAAGCAGATGCCAAAGCAATTATCACATTGATCAGAAAAAAAAAATCGATAAGGAATCAAAACCACATTCAAGGATGAATCAATACGAATCTGTTACCTGAAGACCTTGGGGCAGTAATCTTTCCACTTGAACTCTGAAGAATGGCACGGATGTGTCATCTTCGTTCCCTCCACTGGAAACTTAGTCCAAAACTTCTGCCGTGGATCAAAGTCGCTTGGCCAGAGCTTCGTCGACTGCTTAGAGGAAGGTTTTCCTACAGAGTATCTGTAGTTTAAGCCAAATTAGCAAATATTTACCGAAAAAAAAAAAAAAGAGGAAATCCATAGCGCATAACAATACCTGATGCCTAATTGAAGATTAAGCACAAGATCGTAGCTCTTATGCCCCTTCAATATTGCCGGCCAATGGTTCTTCACGTCACCCGGGACTGAACAACAATCACACCGCCGCTGAAGCTGGCTTGCAGATGCTTCTTCTTCACCAAACTCTGACCCAACCTGACAAAGGATTGAGGCAGCGATGTCATCCATAATTTTGCAGGCGGGGTCCCCTGTCTCGCCATCAAACTTCCTCCCGCAGTTCCCAGGGATGTCCTCCCCCTCGCCGCTCCTCCCAAAATCCCTATAAACATACGACCGCTTACTTGACCCCAGGGAAGCGGAGGACGACAAGCCATTCATCTGCTGCTGACTCTTGAAATCCCTAATCCATCTTCCCAAATAGCAGCTGCAATCCGGCCAAGCAAAGCCGCCGCTCCTCTTAGGCACACCATTCTCCAACTGACCATCGTGCAGGTCTCCATTAGGCAATATAAACACTCCTCTGTCGGCCATCGTCCCATTGCGCCACTCACCAACGAACTGAACCCTATTGCGCCACACGTATCGCCCCTGCCCATCTTGAACATCCCGCTTCCATTGCCCTTCATAGAAATCCCCATTCGCGTACGATTTCTTCCCGTATCCATGTTTCCGATCGGCAATCCACGATCCCTGATATGTTTCTCCGTTAGCGCCAATGAAACTACCGTACCCCTCCATCTTCCCGTCCTTAAACTCTCCATCATAGGTCGCACCTGAAGGCCACCATAACTTTCCCTTTCCGCTGAAGTTCCCGTCCCTCCACTCGCCATTGTAAACACAACCATCGATCCAGATGCACTTCCCGCGGCCGTGAGGAGCGTTCCCCGCGAACTCTCCGCTGTAGAGATCGCCGTTTGGGAAAACCATCTCTACTTCCACAACCGCATCGCCGGCCGAAGGAGTCACTCGCCTTCCGCAGCCCGGAAATTTGTTTTTCATGGAGGAGAGCGGCGGCGATGCACCAGCGTCTACCTCGTCGGCGATCACCTGGTGTCGCATTATCCAGAAACTTTGCTAACGAAGCCGATCAGGCTCTGCACAGTATATCAGTTAGGATCGGTTTCTTATTGGTATATGAAATGCTGCGTAAGAATCAATAAAAACAAAATTATTACAGGTCAGTTTTATAAACATATCAAGCTATAAATAATTACAAATATAGCACCATCAACTTTTCTATTTACAAAACTAGCGCTTGGGACATTTTTAGTTAAAAAAATTTACATGCATACCACTCAATTACTGCTCAACCCCTATATATTTACATTTATAACCTCGCCCAAAACTTATATATATATATATATAATATTTTTTTTTTTTTTTGACT